ACACATACACACACATACACACACATACATACATACATTCATACATTCATACACTCATACATACATACATACATACATTCATACATGCATACATACATACATACATACAGACAGACAGACAGACAGACAGACAGACAGACACACACAGACACATACATACATACATACATACACATCTGCATGCACACGCACACACACACACACGCAAACGCATGTGTATGTGCGTATGTCTGTATGCAGGTATGCATGCATGCATGCTTGTATGTTCGCACGTATGCATGTATGTATGAACTGCATGCATGTATGTATATATGTAGGTATGTGTGTGGCTCTATGTATGTGTGTACAGCATACGCCAGCTGCTGTGAGGGCGGCGAAGCGCTGCCCAGAAATGGCTGGCTGGACTGCCATTACGCTCTCAAGGCTGTTGTAAGCTGGTCGTTCTGTAATAAGGGTTGTACGAGCTGTAATTAGGGTGTTGTCTTTTGTGGGCTGTGCTTTGTGTTTTTGGGTTTGGGGTTTCAGGGCTTCAGCTTTCTAGTCTCCCTGCGCTCGGAGTTTGTTGAGGCCTTCAGCACGTTTATGAGCGGCAGGTCCCTTATTGGGGGTTCCTAGCTGCTGCTTCTGCTGCTGCTGCTGCTGCTGCAGTTTATAGAATCATCATCAGAGTTTTAAATAGCCTGAGCGGGTGTTGTCATGCTCAACACCTTCCTGTTCGACCAAGTTTCAAAAAAAAACTCAGCATCTCACGCGACATGCGTGTGGACCATGGTGCATGTTGCTGCAATCGAGGCTACACGGAAGTTTGCACAACTGCCTTCAGAGCTATTCAACTGACAGAAGGTATTCTTGGAAACACTTAAGGGATGGAAGCGGCATTGCAATCCACATCGGGTGCGTCAGAAGCAACTGCAAGTGTATGATTTCTAGCCATGGTCTGACGAGTTCAAGCACAAACATAGAGCTGTCAACTCCATGGCCTGCCTTCCCGATGCGAGCTGCCAGCGCGCGCACCCGTGTGCTGTGTGGCACTTGCGTGCCTCGGCAGACCAAACTCCAATCAGTGGTCCGGGCTCGGCAGCATCCGCCGGCCTTATCGGTGGCGTGGCCGGAAACAGGATTGAAAGTTTTTGGATGAGCAGTCATTTTAGAGAAGACGCACCGGATGACTAACAGAAAATACTTGTAAGTTTCGTGTGTTCCGAGTTTTCTTTCGACCTCCGTGCGTTGCCTGATTGAAGAATCTCTCCTGTGCAGGTGGCATCGCAGTTGCTGTGACGCACCCCCTGCGACCCAGGGCCAAGCATGCTTCCACTCGGAAGAGAGCTGGGAGGTTCCCAGGTCCGAGACCTTGCTGTGCCCAAAAGGCAACGACTGCTCAAGGTGGCGAGGACGCAGAGAAGGAGAGCAGTTTGGCATTCTTGACAGATGAGAAGCAGCTGGATGCACAGATTTGGACACTGGCCCTTCCGGCGTTCATTGCCCTTTGTGCTGAGCCCCTGCTATCGATCATCGACACAGCCTTCGTCGGCCGCCTGCCTGATGCTGCCTTGAGTCTGGGAGGGCTTGGTCTCTTGGCCGAGGTTCGCAAAGTTGTTTGGCTTGTTCTTACCATGGGTTTCGCCGAGAAGATGCAAACGAATTCTCTACAATGCCCCGCCAGTAGGTGCGGCTACTTCTGTTTTCGACTTCGTCTTCCGCTGCTACAACTTCCTCTGTGTGGTTCTGGTCCCTTTGGTTGCCGAGGCCGTGATTGCGAAGAAGAGGGGAGAAGCTACAGAGGACTCTTACTCTGAGTTTTTTCTTGCAGTGCATAGGATGCTTTACGCCTCGGCCTAATGCCAGAACTTGCCAGCAGTCGCGGTCGCCCATATCCCCCGCAAACCATGAAACAGAACTGCTCCTAGCCGTCAGCCCGAAACTTGATGCAATGCAAAACTAAAATAACTAAAAGATGGCGGCATTAGCCTCGCAACCCAGCAACTCAGTGGTAGCAATCGGTACATTTGTTGTCATGGTTTATAATGTAAGGCTTGACACAACTGACAGCAGCACGCCACCATTTGTACTCGTGCCACCATGACCACAACCACCACCCCCCCCCCGCCCCCCACCACCGCCACCCCTACCACCCGCACCACCACCAGCACCAGCACCAGCACCAGCAGCAGCACCAGCAGCAGCACCAGCAGCACCACCACCACCACCGAAACCAACACCACCACCACCACCTGCGACTGCTGCTGCTGCCGCCTGCTGCCGCTGCTGCGGCTGCCCCCGCTGCTGCTATCGCTCTCGCTGCTGCGAAACCTTACCGTAGCTTCTGCTGCCCCTCCTACTACTGCTTCAGCGCGTCGTCATGAGCGACAAGACACACTTAGAATGGGCAAACACCTTTGAGCACATAGTTGTAGCAGTGCCAGCAGCAATGTGAGGTCCAGGCTTCTGCTTGCACATCTGGGCATCATATGGGTAGTTCTCTAAATAGGCGGTCCCTTTTCGGGTCCTTTTATCAGAGTGCCGTACTATATTTGGGACCTGAAAAGTGATCCTAATTTAGAGAATTGCCCATATATGCAGTTAAACAGCACCGACCAAGATCAAGAGTACCCAATCCTGATTAAAGGACAGTATGCGGGCACAGCATCATTAGCCATAAAGCCCAAACCCCAAGCTCACCAAAAGCAGGACCCGGCGGACATTGTGGGCCGAGTGATCGGGCTGGCTGCTGCTTTGGGTTTCTGGAAGCAGTTTGGCGTGCTCTTTCTGGGTATGGATCAACTGTTCACTGTTTTTTCGTGTGTCTTAAGGCTTGGAGAATGCATCTTCTCGCGAGGGTTTGCCAATAGCTTGTAGCTTTGAGGGTTGTCCTCCCGCGCCGCGAAGTTGCAGTGAGATATCCCTCCCTGCCCTGCATTTCTAGTCAAGATTCTGGTGTAGCATTGAGCCCTGCTAGCTGCATGCAGTGCGTGTGCCGTCTAGGTTTGACAGCTGAGGCTTCCTGACCTGGGCCCTAATTGCCTTCGGCTCTCAGAATGTCCTCGCACCTCGTCCAGTCGTGGGACGGTGATGTTTGTGTTCGAAGGTGCTGGTCCAGGTGCTCGCTCCAGTGCGGTAAGCTTCATTGATTTCGCGGGTAGTGGTGGCATCTGGAAGGCCTAGAAGGCGCATCGTCCTACTTTACGGGCGCAGGTTTACTGTCCACTAGAGAGGCTGTCACTCCTTTGCAAGTATCGCTGGTCAACTTCCTGCACTTGCACACGCCAGTTCATAATCTTCAATACTAGCTGTGAAGGCCATCCGATAGGGGCCCCAGTAATTCCCAATAATTGCTAGTACTATATACCCCAAAACCCTATTCTAATTAGTAATTAGGCCCCTACAGTACATGACAATCAGGAGCTTGCCGGTGTCTCCGCTGGCACGAGCCTGGGGACGGTGGCCGACGGATATCTCCGCATTCGAGCCACTGCGCTGCCTGCCAGCCTCGTTAACACCGTGGCTGTGGGGGCTTTCAGAGGCAGGCTTTAGGATTCAGGGGGTCTAGGGTTTATGGGGCCCTGTCAGCCTTCTGGTCGACTGCAGTGCGTAGACCATGTCTTAGAATAGCCCGGAGACTTGTCATGACATGTCATCATGTCCCATATCACAGTCACAACAGTTGCGACTGTAGAGAGATGTACGCCGCCTTTGTGTGGAGCTCCGTTCTCAAGTTCTCAAAGAACGTCGGTTGTGAGATGCATGGCATCAGGCCACCTGGACACCTCCACGCCACTGCTGGTTGTTCTGGTCCAGACCTTATCTGACGTGGCCTTGGATGCGGTGTTTGTATACGGGGTGGCACCACTTGGCATACCGGCCATGGGAGTGGATGGTGCGGCTTGGGCTACAGCCTTGTCGATTTGGATTGCGTGCATTTGCTTCGCGGTTCTTCTGTCGCAGAGAGGCTATGTGGCTTGGAAGTCTGCTCTGTCCTGGCCTACTGCACTGCAAGAGCTGCAGCCGTTGATTATTGGGAGCTTGTCGCAGCTCATCCGGACTCTTTCCCTGCAAGCAGTGCTGTTGGAATTCACACGGACCGTGGTGGGTCTGGACGCCACGGGCCTTATTGCAGCCGCACATCAAGTGGGCCTTCGTGTTTGGTACTTTGCCCTCTTTGCCTTGGACTGCATTGCCGTCTCTGCGCAAGGCAGGGGCGACGGTGAAACTTTGCATTTGGTCGTTGACGGGAGCTTCGAGGGCTAAGCCATGTTCGTCATATCAAACAAAGAACACCTAGACATAAACAAACAGAACAGAAACACAAATATACATGTATAATTACCATACACCCACTATATACAGAACGGGCCACCCTGGGAGTGCAGTTGCTTAGGTGTTTTGCGGTCATTTCTCTGTCAAAGCAAGCCCAAGGTCGAAGGAATCCCAAGCCTCATTATATACGTTGTTTGTATCATGTATACTAGTACGTATATGACGTACATATCATATTACTTATATTATATATATTAATATATATATATACATGATTATGTATGCGTCGTGCTTACACGGGCAACCTGGGAGCAAGGACTGGTTCCGGTGGCGCTGGCAACCGCCGGCGTTGCCAAAGCTCGCTGGGTCTCATCTCGCTTGCTGCTTTGGGGTGGGGTCGGCGGCACCCTGTCCGGCCTTCTGATTGCCAGCCTAGCCAGCTCTATTCCTGCCTTGCACCTTGGCGATGATACTCCCAGACAGCCCAATACCCCCTAATTAGGGAATATACCTTAAATTATAGGGGCCTTAATATTATGATTTAAGGTATATTCCTTAATTAAGGGGTATTGGGCTCGGCCCAGCACGCCTGATTCAAAGACTTGGGAAAAGCATCTGCTGAATTGTTGAGGTTCACGAACGACGAGGTCGTGGCGGCGACGGCAACTCCTTTGATCCTGACGCCTGGCGCATGCGAGACTCATAGTATCATAGGTTACACAGGGGTCTGTTTCTTCGGTCAGAGCAGACTTGCAGCGGATCATGTGCAGAGCTTGCCTGTAAAGGTGATCATGTGGAGGAGGGCATGCAATAAAGCACAGCATCGCGGCAGGTACTGATACGCACCGTATCAGTAGTGAGTGGCTTCTCTGTATCGTTACCGACTTCGTTCTAAGACGAGGGGCCGAGAGTGAGATAGCCGACATGGTCACTGCTGGTCACTAGCAGCAGTCACCAACAGCAAGCAACAACGATTCCCTAACCCCCCAGGTACCTACTATATAGGGTACTAGAGCCCCTAGGGCCCTATATACTAGGTACCTGGGGGCTAAGGGACTTTTCGTACCAAGGACCGTGGCAGCATTGCAGCCGATTGCCGGGGTTGTGTTCACGTGGGATGGTTGCGGCCTGAGTTGGAAACCCAAATAGGGGACCCTAAAAAAGTACCCCAAATAGTAGGATCCTTACTATAAGGACCTCAAAATAAGGTACCCCAACCCCTGAAACAACCCTTGCATATCTGAGATCTAGCATCGAATTGCATGAGTTTTGTCCTGCTAGCATCTGTCTGTTCCGGCAGTCTGTTGTGGCAACTCTAACAACTGAGCCGGCTTCCTTCCTCTTCCAAGTATTCGTAGAGCCATGGCTCAGACCCCAAACACCGGAGTTGATTTAAGGGGTCGGAAAATTAGCAATGGTATCCCCTTACAGTCCCAATATTGATATACTACACCATTCTAGTGGTCGGGGCCCCTATATTATCCTTAAATCCTAAGCATCCAACAGCCTACCAGGATCCGGAATAACCATGGCTCAGGACTCTTTCAGGGTCTCTCCGACTATGCCTACCTAGCTTTGGCCATGGCAGTGGCTGCGCTTGCCCCTTGGCGCTTGGGCTTAGGACCACGACACGCGTGGCCCAGGTAGATTTAGGGCTCAGGGCGCAGGGTGTTGTGAGCAGTTTTGTGAAACTCATGTCGCAGACAGAACCACACATTCCTCTGGACTGGCCAGCTCCTACACTCTTCTACATATATGGGCTGCGGCCGGTACATCAGACATCAAGAAGCTGTCATGTTCAGGAACACTGTATTGAGACTTCTATCACCTGGGATACAAAAAGTCCTAAACCCTACGCTCTCAACTGAATCAACTGATTTGTGTGACACGGTATAAACCGTAGCCGATGAGATCGCTGCAGAGACCCCTAATCCCTGAACTAAGCGAGATGATAGCCCTGATAGAGCCGACAAAGCCCATAGAAAGCTCTACTTCGAACCTATGAAACCCATATCAAGCCTTCCAGAGCCTTTAGCACCGTTTTACAAAGCCTTTATGCAACCGATATAAAGAAAAACAACAGGCCGGTGTATAACCCTATCGAGTCCACATAGATTTAAAGCTCTTCTGAGGTAACACCGGAACCCGAAACTCCTGAACCTTAAACTCCTACATAAACCCTAAACCCCTGCACACCCTAAAACCTAAAGCCCCCCAACCCCTAAAACCCCAAACCCTAAAGCCTAAAACCGAAACCCTAAACCCTAAACCTTAGACCCTAAAACCCTAAACCCTAAAGCCTAAAGACCCCCCAACCCCTAAAACCCCAAACCCGAGGCGACCCTGGGTCTGCTCCAGCTGGACTTCTTCAGTGGCTCTCTTCAGGGAGTCTGGGCTTCTCGGCTCTAATCCCTGCGAGGTTCGTCAGGGTCAGAACTTCAACTTTTTGGAATCCATCAAAGGATTAAACGCTAAATCTCTAAAGCCCTAATCCCCGAACCCTGGACCTTAAACCCTGAACCCGAAACCCTGATCCCTGGACCCTAAACCCTAAGCCCTAAAATTCTAAACCCTGAACCCTGAACCCGGAGCCTGATGGTACGTAGTACTTCTACTATTACTACTATTACTACTACTACTACTACTACTACCACCACCACCGCCACCACCACCACTACTACTAAACTGCGAGGTGTGCTTCTCCATTTTCCTGCTGGGCCGAGCAGCGGGCCTGGCTTGGCGCTACTGGGGACCGGGCCCTCTAAAGGTGTGAGATCCAGGGGTTGCATAAAGAAAGGGTTTAGGGTTTTATAGGGTTTAGGGCTTAGGGGGGTTTAGGGTTTTTAGAGTTTTTAGGGTTTGTGGTTTAGGGTTCAGGGCTTAGGGTTTAGGGTTTAGGGTTTTTAGGGTTTGTGGTTTAGGGTTCAGGGTTTAGGGTTTACGGTTTAGGGTTCTACCCGGACTGCGAGTCGAAGCCGTGTGCAGCGCGCAAAGCTCAAAAGGAGCCCCGCGGTGGAAAATACGATGCCGGAGAGGTCTCAAAAAGGTAGTCATAGGCTCCATGGTAGTTCCTTTTTGTGGTTTATATATAGAATCCTATAAGGTACTCCCAAAAAGGAACTACAATGGAGCCTATGGGTAGTCCTACTTCGATTCAGTCAGCTCCTTGTCTTGTCGTCTATGCCAATTACTAGCTATACATGGATGCCAAACACTGGCCACAGGGTCCTAGCCATAGCTGCGGCAATGCAGCTACGCGGTCCACTCAGAGAATCAGGTCAGGACCCCAAGGGCCAAAAAGTCTCAGACCTCTTGGTGATGTGGTCTCGGTGGCCAGGGCAGATGCACATGCAAACCCCGATGCACCTACATGGATTGAGCTTTCTCGGGGGGAGACGCAAAGTCTCGAAAGCATTCCATGGTTCAGGCTCAACTGTACACATTTACCCTTGAAGCCTTTCATTCTGGAATTCCCTGAGCCCTACTTAGTGGCGAACTTCAGGTGTTCCCTGTCTGAAGGAGCCGAGACGGAGTCGATAATTGGAGGACAAGACAACACACACAAAAAAAACAATGCAGTAATATATATATATATGTATATATATATATATGTATGTATGTATTATACCTATGTAGGATAGCTGTGAACTGGCGAAGACAGCAATCGAACAGCAGTAGTATAGGTAAAAGCAGTATCAGTCGCAATATTACCTTAACGTGAGCATGAAAAGAGGAAGAGATTTAGATAAAGGTGCTTTTAAGCTTATTCTGCATGCACAGATGTTTGACGTACACAAGCGCACATGCAACCAACTCCCTTGCGGGTCGTTTCAAATTACCTACCGATCTACCGAGCTTGCGTTTCCTAATCCAACCTGCAGCAAAGCAAGTGGAAGAAGTTTGGGGCTTATTGTAGGGGCCTTAATCATTACCTACTATACTATTTTGGGGCGCTCCTTGTTAGGTTTATACCCCCCAAAACCCTATTCTAATTGTTCAGGCCCACATTAGGGGAATTAGGGTTTCGGGTTTAGGGTGTCATTTCTGGCTCTCCCGGGCTCCACGTCAGGGGCCTCCTCAGATGTAGAGAACTTCGTGCCATGCTTGGGCCTTGCATCGGTTTCTATTTGGGGCACCTGTAACTTAAGCGTACATCTAGCGTTATGGAACCTTCTCTGCCTTCCACATTCATGGATTCCCTGAGGCCAGCTGTCACTCTTTTTCATTATCGCACGTGAGTATTGTTGCTAAACTGTTATTACCACCAGTAGCATCATTCATTCCTCAAGCCTTGGTCGCTAGGCAGCAGCTCGAGCTGGCGAAGCAGCGTTACTCGGCTGCACTGCACCTCTGTCCTGTCTTGCCGACTGGTTGGTTTTATATCATGAAACTCATATGAAACAAGTGTGGTTTTCTATGGGTTTGAAACATGCCCTGAAGCATTTTGGATTTATAACATCACATCCCTACACAATGACAATACAGAACCCAAAGAAGATGGCATCCGGACCCCCACCGTGAATCCCAGACCTTGTGCACCGAGGTGTTGCAGAAGCGGGAGTAGACGACAAGGTCAGCGTGATATTCTGTGACTACCGGGACGTGGTTGCCGGGGCCCTGTTAAGAGGGAGCCTCAAGCCTACAGCCTTTGCATGGACAGTACATTCTTGGCCTTACACCCTACGCCCTGAACCCTAGCCTGTACCGAATCGCAGGTTGGTACGCTGCATGTCAACTGCTTGCAAGAATTCCCTTCGATCGTTCTTTTCTGTGAACTACTTGAGCAGCTCAGTCAGTCTCATATTGTATTGTGGGCATCAGTACCGTGGTTGTTGTCCTGAGTCTCGTGCGCACATTACGTCTCAAAGCTCCCTCATGCAGGAATTCAATGCCTCTTTTGCTTACTTTGAAGCCTAAACCCTAAACTGCATGAGCCTCTGAGTGAGTGCGGCGAACGCACTGTGCTGATTCTGGATCTCAAAGGCCCGGTTCGGAGCGGAGTACTTCTCCAAAGCTGCTTCTGGCCAGCAAAGCAGGGGCAGGATGGAATTCTTGGTTTAGGGCGGCTCCTAAACCCTAAATCGGTTCTGTAGGCGGTTCAGGGGTGTAGGGCAGTGTAGGGGTGTAGGGGTTGTGGAGACTGAAAGTTTGGGATTCAGGAGCTTTGGCAAAGTTGAGGCCTTGGAGGCGTGTTTCAGTTCTAGGCTTCAGACGGCTTGCCGCTTCCAGGGATCTTATAGTAACCAAAGTTTTCGGGGCATTTGGCATGCAGTTTATACAACATATATATATATATACACACACATGTTTTCAAACATAAGTAATTAAACAAGCACATCAAACAGCTTAAGGGTACATGAGTGTATGTATCGGGATGGAAATACCTCACTATGCGAATGATTATGGTTTCAAAGTCTGTGCATGTAGGTAGTGACTGACGTACGTGTGTATCTATGCATGCATGTATCTTTGTTTGTCTGTATGCATATATATATATATGTATGTATGTATGTATGTATGTATGTATGTATGTCTGTACGTACACGTGCAAATATGAGAATATGAAAGTATGAGGAAGATGTATGTATGTTTGTATGCAGGTATGTACATATGTATGCATGTAGCATGCATCCATGTATGTAATGTATGTGCGTCGCAACGTCGGTGACCGGCAACATGTGCTTCGCAGTTTGTCGGACTTTCCAAGTCTTCGGTTTCCTTCGAAAACCAAGTGTGATCCTAAACCCCAAATCCTAAACCCAAAAGGTGCATCATCTTCGACATTGTTGACGTCAGCAAAACACACGCAAGAAACAAGTGGCAGAACACATTTTGCGTGTCATGAAATACTTTCTTTGACCATTCGGGTTTATTCGACATAGTAGTTCATTTCGTGAGCAATAGCAGTAGTGTTGGAACGAGAGGAATGAGACATGCTGATGATGCTGCAAGTTCATGATCGTGGCAGGTGTAGAGCCGATCTGCAAAGAGCGCTAGCTGAGGGTTCAGGGTTTAGGGTTTCAGAGTGGTCGCAGGACATCCATGGTTTTCATTGCACAAGTATCGAAACAGCGGCAACAACCGAACACAAGGAAGGAGTATCGGGGCACCTTCTGGGATCCGGGGCTTCTGGGCACTTCTGGGTGACAGCTAGCTTTACCTACAAGGGTCTACGACACATGGCACTCTGAAGCCTACATCCCTAAACAACCAAGGCTCCGCCTGGTGAAATAAGGGCCTACAGAATTAGCAAGACTATTCTGACGTTCCCGACACAATATACGCGAACTACGCGAACATCTAATTATCAAGGCCTATAGGGAACAGAAGCCTCTTCTCGAACCCCGAAGGAAACAAGCGTGGAAGACTTTGAGACTCGCGTTTGCAAGACTAAAGTAGGAAGCTGATTAAGAAGCCCTGGCCCTATCGCCCCACATTCTGAGCATCCATACAAACAGCCCAAATAAAAGAATAAAGAACCCAAGTTGCTGAATCAGGCTCCGACATTAGCCAAAAGCCTGCGCCCTTGGAACATGCTGTGGGCCCACACTTTGAGAGCATCATCAAGTACAGCCACGGCAGCGCAGGGAATCCCTCCAAGACTCTATCAGATATGCGCAGGTCTCTGAATCAAGGTCCCATATTTTAGGTCCGAACACAGCACGGCACCCATATATGCAGGACCCCAAAAGGAACCTAATGTAGAGTCGTATAAGCAAAGCTGAGGTGAGCGTGGAGATGATCGAGGCCTGATATCTCCGTAGAGCTCCAGTTGCTTGAATAATTGACTACAGGGTTACATGTAAGTGGTTAGTAACCTCGCTAGGGTCTTCTTGGGGATGTAGCGACGTTTGGCGTTCGCGCCTCAGGGTGGAGTGACTGCAAGGACCTGGAGACACGGTTTTGGGTTTTGGGTTCTGGGCGGTACTCAATACGCAAATCAAGCTGTGATTATGTCCGAATTGAAAGAGCTTGTCTTTTCAACCCGAGTGGAGCTCTCATTGTTTTTCGGGTTTTTTGGACCCACCTAGGCTTCAAACGATCGGTCCGAGCTTGGTAGCTGAATGTGGAGGATTTTGGTCCGAGCAGTCAACTCACTACATGCATGCCATTTCTGCAAAAACCTGAGTTGCCCCCTGAATTCTTGCATGAGCCCGAAGCCTGGAGCCGTAAAGCTCTGAACCCCAAACCTTGAGTTAAAAGCCTCCTTCAACCCCTAAACCCAAGCGGATGACACGCTTTTGGCAGGCAGTTGGCCACGAGTACTTGCCGGTCTACTTCCGGGCTCTGGACCAGTGCCTCCCTTTGATTGGTTTTTGGGTATAGGATTTAGGCTCTTTTTTGCATCTTGTATGGATGTCTTTAAGGTCCGTTTGGGGTTGAGGGTTTGGGTGTACATATACATGTGCACACACATACAGATGGTATAATTTCCTAGAATGAGACTGCCAGAGAGAGAGAGAGAGAGAGAGACAGACAGCAGAGAGAGCGAGAGAGAGAGGCTACGGGGCGGGGATGTCATTGCTCCAACAGAGTCGATGCATCGGAATGATTGCGAATCGCGAACCCTTTCGAGTCTCCTTGTCACGTTTGCTCGTAGATCCGAGCCTTCCTGTGCCAAATCTCCGCGGACGGGGGTGTGTGTTCTCGTGCGGGAGTGGGGGGGGACCTACCCGCCCTAGAAGACAGAGAGTGACCAAGAGGGAGAGAGAGAGAGAGAGAGAGAGAGCGAGAGCCGGCGTGGACGTGTCCGTGTGTTTGTTTTTGGTGTTGCTATTGCCATTAGCTGTGCACACACTAAAACAAGGCAAATCGAGGTATGTGTATGTGTATATGCTTGTATAAGCCTATAGCTTCTCAGGGACAAGGGCTTGCACTTGCGCTAATCATACTGCTCTTCAGGGAGTGGTGCGGCGCCAAGAGCCAGGACCCAGCACATCCTGCTTGCCTCACATTCAACCAAAACCGGCCTGGATGAAATGTGCAGGGTATACTCCTACCCCTAGAGTAGTCGATACTATAGTGCTTAGGCTCTGTTCCTTACCTCTGTATGAGCACCGGACTCTGCTGCGTTTCGTCGAGAGTGCAGTTAGAAGGTAACACTACCAGCCTAAGCCGTGGACCCCTCCCCCATGCTCAGCCGTGAAACTTAACAAACTTAACAAAGTATGCACAGGTGCCTGAAGCCTGGGGGTATGGTGGCAATCCAAGCCATCTGTGTGCCAGATGAGCGCTACGAGTCATATAGGCGGATGCAGCACCGGGGCTAGTTTCTTGCTTTGGGGATTGAGAGTTTTGGGATTGTTCGGTTCAGGGTTCAAGGATGGCGGTGAAGGGATTTTGGCAGAGGATGTCTCACGCCAGCCAGTGCATCTGCGACTGCAGTGAGACTCGTAGAATGTCAACATGCATCGTGTAAATGCATGTCCTTTGCCGCACAGTCCCTAAACCCTTGCCCCATAAACCTTATGTATTCCCCGACAGGAAGGGATCCGACTTCATCCGCGAGAAAATTTTCCCGGGCTCGCACTTGCCATGCCTGGCTGAAATCCACCGCTCGTGTTCCCAGCTACCAGACTGCAGCCAGACCCCTCGGGGCTTGTATTCAGGATCAATATGATATGGGGATATTTGTAATATGGTGTGTATATTATAATATACATATATATATAAAGAGAGAGAGAGAGAGAGAGAGAGAGGGAGAGAGAGAGAGAGGGAGAGGGAGAGAGAGAGAGAGAGAGAGTTGTGTTCGGATTTTGGAGCTTTTAGGGTTTTTTAACGGAATTCGAGGATTCAGATTTTGCTAGCGTTTAAAGATTTAGGTTTAGAGTGTAAAGTTTAGCGCGTCGGATTTACCGTGAAGGGACGAGCTTCCAAGAAACAAACTACCTCCTTTACCTGACAACCCTAGGGAGGGAGGTGCTGCCCAATGCCTGGACTGCAAGCCTAGAAGCGAGAAGCTTCTAAGCCCCAACTCTACGAGTCGTATTTTCGTGCGTTTTCAGATTGCATGGCATTGCCTTGCAAGGGTGCCGCAGGACTCGGAAGCTATAGTTTGTGGGGGTTTTGGTTGTAAAGTTTCAGAGTGGTTTTGCCCTGCGTTTGCGACGATTCCGACGGACTAGAGGTTGACAGACCAAGGGGAACTCAACAACCCATGGGTGAAGTTACTCCCGACAATGTTCATGGCTGGCTGAATCCCAAGAAGAGCCTCAAGCGATCATAGTGTTGAAAAAGGTCGCTCCTAGTAGCTCAACCCTAGTCTAATCATTAAGGCCCCTAGGCTATATCTAGCCCACACCTGCAAGCCCTACCGAAGCACTGAAACCTAGACTTTAAGCCCTAAAAGCCCTAAACCCTAAGCCGTCGCGATTAAAAGCTCTCTTTGAGGAAGTCCTCAGCACCCTCTCTATCCTAACCTCTCATTTAGGGTTCAGGTTTTAGGGCCAGGGTATACCTACACCGTCTCTGTCAAAACTCTCCTTGAGCGATTCCTCAACCCTCTCTTGTAGGATTTAGGGTTTAGGCTTTCGGGCTTGTTTATCTACATAAGACTTTGTTTTAATGATACTGATGATACTAGTAATATTTTTGATTCGCAATAGTAATAACAATTGTAGCGTATCAAGGCTCTCGTTGAGGGAGTGTGCAGCTCCTTTCTCCCTGGGCCTGTCGTATGCGGCCACTCTCAAAGAGCCTTGGCTTGAAGATCTTCCTGGGCCCTGCGCTGTTTCGGTTAGCGTTATTGGATTTAGGGTCTAGGGTTCAGGGCTCTTTGTGCTGCGTCTTGAAATTCGGTTTGAGAATTACGGCTCTTTGTGCTAATGTTTAAACTTCATGGTTTAAGGACACTTACGGTTTGGGGGGTTGAGGACTGTTTGTGTTACTATATTACGATATAGACGGTTCATGGATTACGGGTTTAGTGTTCAGGGTTACGGGTTCGGATCATACGTCGGTCAGGTTAGGATTTTGATGGGGGGAGGAACATCGAAGTACACATGCATGTGCACGCATGTTTCTCAAGAGTAGAGATTGAAGGTGATTGAAGTATATTGAAGTATGCACGACTTAGTCACTAGTCGCTTCGAACAGGCATGCAAGTACTTGCCTTTTGTTTCTTCTTCGCACATCTTTAAGTATTCCGAACAAGGCATGTATAGTACAAGAGGATCATGCGTATGCAGTGAAGATCGTGCTGAAAGCTGCCTCTTCTACCTCTAAGTTACCACTTTTGCCTCTTCTGCACTACCAGTAGCCGTGTTGCCGCCCATGGCAACTTGCAGACTACGTATAGCAATTTTTGGTCTGACAGCGATCTGTATATTGGCTGCGGACGGAAGAGATGGTAAGAGTTTCAATCGAGCATCCCAACGCCCAAAGCGTGACGAGGGTCGAATCATGTTTGTGTTTGCCTCCTGTGAACCGAAGCAGGCTGAATGACTCGACTGATGGAACCCCATACCCTTAAAAACCCTGAACCCCTCACCCCTAAACCCTCTTTATGGAGCTGCCCAAACCCAAAACCCCCAAGCCCCAAAAACCCCTAAACCGAAACCCTAAACCCTCATTATGGAGCTGCCCAAACCCTAAACCCCCAAGCCCCAAAAACCCCTAAACCTAAACCCTCCCTAAACCCTCTAAACCCTGGTGCGATGGTAAAGCTGGCTCCCCACATGGGGGGTGTTCGGCTTCTGCAGGCTTCGCGCGTATTACGCCGGAGCTGCCACCTCTGCGCATCCCCGCTTGCCTCTTCTAGCGGTTCCTTGGTAAGGCCACTAAAGCCCTAAACCCCTAAACCCCTATAAACCCTAAAGCCCGAAACCCTAAACTTTAAACCCCAAAGCCGAAATTCAAAAGCCCTAAAGCCCTAAACATTAAGGAGTGGAGGCGGCGATTCACGGTGAACGAATCCCAGAGCCATGTCTTGCATCTCCGGTTCGGGGGAGTTGGGCTCAGGATTTCAGGGTTTAGGGTTTAGGGGTTTAGGGTTTTGGGGTTTAGGGGTTTTAGGTTTAGGGTTTAGGGTTTTAGGGTTTAGGGTTTTAGGGTTTAGGGTTTAGGTTGTAGTGCTTGGGCCGCTGGGGGGACTACTTGAAACTAGATCCCGTACTCTGCATCGCTAAATCGTCATCCCTAGTCCTAGAACCCAAGATACTCGAAACCCGGAACCCTAAACCCTAAACCCTAAGGTACTCAAAACCCTAAACCCCTACCGCAGATGAAGGCGCAAAGTGAAAATTCCAGGACACAAACCTTTAGTTTTTCAGGCTTCTTGTATACATTCTGACATACATGCTATATTATCATATAATGTTATACACTGATAATTACATATGTGGTCGAAGATAGATGATGAGATCATCGTTCTGTTCACATTGATCGTTGACTGGGAACCCACAAACTACGTCAAGAGCCGCTAACGTAGCGCCCTACAGTAAACCTCTAAACTCCTAAACCCTAAATCCAAAACCCTACCTGTAGAACCGGAAGTGCTAGGATCCGGCAGCTGGTGAGCAGCCGCAGCGGCGAGGGCTTCGACGATCATTTTGTCCGTCGGTCTCTTGCCGAAGAAGCATTCGAGAGGTGATTGAAAGGGAGTAGGGAGGGGGAACCGAAGCATCAGGCTTCCTATCCTATTCGAGGCAGTGGATCCTAGACCGCTTGATCATGACAATGTGACGTGGTGATAGTTGGGAGTTCCCCAATGGGAGGCAGACTTTGCTGGAACCTGTTACCCTCCCCGCTCACCGGAATCGACAACTCGAGCTCGACATAGTAGACCTGTTGCTGTGACGGTTGCTTGACAAAGAAGCAGAATATGTTGACGAAGATGTTGAGGATGAGAATGATGGTCATGATTGTGGAGGTAATGACGATGATGATGATGATGGTTATGATGATGCTCATCATCATGATGGCGGGTGAGAATCTCCTACTGAAGGTTGTGCAGTTTGCGGTGACTGTCCTCGTTGTGAAGCGTTCATGGCAAGTCTTAAGACCTAGGATGCTGCTTACACGAAGGTGGAACTATTACTTTGCGTACTGTGAGACTGGCTTCCGCTTAAAGCACATCGACGTTTGGCAGCGCCTGGGCACGAGCTTGGCAGGGCTCCAAAGGGATTTTGCCGCGGATCACAGCCTTAAACCATGTCAAACCCCAAGCTTTCAACCCAAAATTCCCCCAAGCCCTAAACCCGAAACCCAAACAGATTATTCCTTGGACCATGGCCTTGAGGCTTTGTCAGTCTTAGACACCGTAGATACGGAAACGTGAAGGTGCCACAGCAACATGACAACTCTAAGCCGACAAACGATCTGAAGATGAAGATCGGGGAGGGTCAGTCGGTTCAGGGTTTAGGGTTTAAGGTTAAGGGATTTTGTTGACAGTTGATGGCGACGACGATGACGTTGAAAGCATGAGGGTTCGTCACTTCTGCTAGATGATGGATGCCTTGCTACGACTTGACTTGAGGAACATCTTCATTGCATGTAAATGTAAATGTTTTGGCTGTGCCGTGAAATCCTACAATGTTACAACCGTGAGATGCTGAAGCTTCCCGAAACCGTAAACCCTACACCGGAGCACAAGCAGCAAGAGAAGCAATAAGTATAGTGGTGCTTGCAACAGTTCTGACAGTTTGCTCTGGGCATTCGAGTGCTAGCTACGTTGTTCCCTTGTCGAAGAAATCGCTAGAACATGCTTTTGGTACCAGAATGTTGTGCTGCCATGCAGCGGCGCTCTTAAAGCCCTGCACCCTTGGACCTGAGCCACGTTCTGGATACAACCGGGATGAGAAGTAGGAGTTCCTCTCCGATGACTTTCGATTGCAGGCTCTGCTTCCTCAAGGACGTTTCCCTGGCAGAGCGTGTGGGGGCCTCAGGGCAGGAGGGCGAGAAGTGCAAAAAGCAAAGCAGGATTCTGCTTTCCAGGCTGAGGGTTACGGAAGGCAGCGCGCCGTGCTCGCCATGTGCAGGTCGTCAATGCTTCATCCACCGTTCAGCTTCTTACAAGATTGGAACATAGGACCCGGAAAACCTCCAACGGCATGGATTGGAAACATTGTTAATGTTAATATCAGCAAATGAGCGTATTCCGGCACCCTACCCACAGAGCTGCAAGGACGCATCTGACTCTCCTTTCTTTTCCTGTCTCTGGCATTTTGCGGTTTAGGGTTTTCAGGTTAAGGGGCTGGGTTGGCGGGTGGGCATTGGATCATGGATAAACATTACTGTAAACCCTAAACCCTATTATATACCCCTAAACCCCTAAACCCGAAACCCTAAACCAAAACCCTAAACCCTAAACTCCCAGTTGCAGCCGAGCCTCTTGGAGTCATCCCCCGAGCGCTGAAATCCCGAAGCCAAGCTCCAAGCAGTAAGGCAAAAAGATCCCTACAGGCGAGTCCCTAAACCGTAAATAAATTGAATCAATTAGCAGAAATATAATATCGGTATATATTTATAGATATATACACACAACACCAACACATCTACAGATCTACCTATCTATCTATCTATCTATCCATCCATCTATCTATCTATATGTTTATTTAT